GTGCAAGAACGTTGTCGTTCCATCACATTTGGATAATGGTCATGATGATGATCAAATGGTTGACAGATCAAATAATGTGGCTCCTGGTTTTCTAATGGATTTTGATACCAACGACCTGTTCATATCGGACCAACTGCTAAACTTAGATTTCCACCAAGCCCAAAGCAGCGGATGCGATCAAGATTTGGTGGATGGAACGTCCAAGATTGAAGATTTTTTAATGGCTACCGATGATCATGATCATAACCCAATATTTCAACCAAGTGATCATGAAGAACCTGTGGACCTCAATGCACTTTCATATTTTCTGAATTCAGAAGATGGTGGTCAGTGGATCATTAGTTAGAATCAAACCCCACAATATAACTTGGCAACGTTGCGAACCCTATATAATAATATATATTAGGCGAGTTGGTCATGACAGTGTGCCCGCTTCCTTGCACCTCAGTTTGATGTCCCTCCTTGTTGTATATTAGAACAATTTAGAATGTCATTTTTATCAGTCAATAATTGTAATGGTCAATCTGATCAATCAATGAAACAATAATATTTGTTGCTGTAAAACTCAATTATTTTTAATTAAATTCCATGTAGGATAAAAGATGTCCGCAAATTTGACGAACCATGCCCCTTTTTTCATAACTCTCCTTGATTTTCGGCATTTCAAGAATCCCAAATTTTTCTAGTCGTTCAATCTTTCATTCGTTTTACCGATAACCGATTGTCTCACATTACATGCTTGTATTGTACGTTTAATTGGTGCGGTGATGTGAAGAGCTAGCTAGTGATTTTATGAGGTGTGGGATAGTTGACTTGGTTTTATATTTAAGTCAAATCATGACATTGTATTCAACAGTTTATTCATATTATATCAATAAAATCTGACATTGTTACTTTAGGGTGATCGCTTGAGAGCCCTTTACCAGTGCTTCCGTGTTGCGTTAGTGTTGTATTAGTATAGGTAATTCTTTTTAAATTTTCCTGGATTATATTCCATATGCACCCTTTCCAATGAAGAAATAACAACATTCTCTTACTAAACAGCCAATGATATGTTCAACGTGTGCTTGATGATGCTAATTGATATTACTCATTTTATAAGAAAAATATATGATGCACCTTAACATATATAAAAAATTGCGAACATACGTATACATATATATATATATATACGTACGTACAAAAACTCAGCAAAAGTCATTACCTTTTCGTTTTTGTTTTCATGAAACAGGACAAGGAGGATCCCACAGATATAGGAAGGTAGCTCCCGAATTGATTGCAAATAGTGTACGAGGTGCGTGGTCCAGGGCTAGCTATTTCTTTTTTGGTTCAAGGCTGTTCCTTTTTTGGTCCATGGCTAGCTAAGCCATCCAACTTTCAATACAATAATGGACGTTGAGGGAGATTTAATAATATTATAATGTATAATTCGTTTATTTTTGTTATGAATTATATTTTTATTCCACAGAATTTGATGTTGACGATCCACCATTTGAAATTACTGGGCCAATTGGCCCCCATACATTCTATTATTCTGAAATCCTGTAGTCCAGCTCTCTCTCTCTCTCTCTCTCTCTCTCTGAATCAGCAGGACTCATATCGTCTGGTTTAGGGTTTCCACCAATCCCAAACCAAAGATTGAAGATTTATCATAAAGAAGAACCAATTTTTAGTTTCAATGAAGCATGATGAGACGTAAGGCGTCATATCTTTGGCTAAAGTCACTCACCCTTCTGCATATGGCAGATTTTTAAAAAGATTCCACTGCCAATGTAACATGAAAAGCTCATGCAATATTTTTTGGGTGAGGATAACAGTAGTTCAGAATTTTACTATATTATATGGCAGGGGTTGGTCACATAACATAATACTGCCAATAAATACAATGTTTTGCAAATTGCCAACTACGTACGATTATAATACCACAATGACATCATGGGATGGGGTAGGTTGAGAATTTTCAAGTCATCATGCATGCTTCCCTCTCCTCCACCCACCTACCAGTTCAACTTCAAATTGTACTATTTTACGAAAAATAGCTTTCGATACAAGCGATATTGGGGACAGAGACGGATCCAGAAATTTTCCTTGCAGGGGTCAACGTCTAAAAGGAATTTTCTTTGAAAAATCAGTTTGAGGAAATGTGTGATCTTTAGGTTGACATGGACCCTTTTATAGATATGCTTGTCTAAGTTTATTCCAAAATCAAAGTCTAGAGCATGCAGGAAAATTAGCCAAGACATCTTGCAACTCACTTTCTTTTGAACTACCCACGACATCTTTCGAACTCGAACTACTCACATTATCTGAATTAGAAGTAGATGATGAGAACTTTCTATTAAAATATCGTTCCATAAACTGTATTGGTAGAAATAATCAATAAAGCATGAACAACCAATCCAATCCAACAATTGAATAGACAAAAATTAATCCAATTTGCCAAGAAGATACAAGCATGCAACCTAACAAATACAATCTATTATAAAATCCCAACAACTAATAAAACAAAAATATATAAGAAATTTTTTCATTAATTAACAAACACAAAAACAAATCCAATTTACCAAGATATAATCTAAGCATATACAACTTAATAAAAACCCTTAATTTATTAATACTAACTAAACAAAATAAAACCCAACAAAAAAATTAATCAAGAGAAACAAAAACATATAAAAATCTTTCAAATTAAAGCATAAATAGATTAGAAATTAGGGTAACATAATTTCAAATTTAGGGACAATATCTACCTTCCAAATCAAATCGAATTTGGGGGTGACTTTGTTATTTTGCTGTTACTGCCACCATTATGAGGATGTCATCAGCGCAGGATTGGGTGAAGGTTGGTTAGTAGGATTTGGGGATTTAGGGTTTGACATATGAAGAAATGAGCTAAAACTATTTTGGGGGAGGGGAGGAAACTGTTTGCTGCTCTGCTCTTGCGCCTCTGTTTAATAGAGGCTGCTCTATAATTTTATTTTTTTAAAAACCTGGCCAAAACGAACTGCTCGATGAAAGTCCTCAAAGAGTTGCTCTTCTGTTTTCTCCCCAGAGCGCAGCCCCTTGCGCTTCTTTTCTTTTTTTCGTCGACGTCATCCCACTAAACCTTTTTATTCTTTTTAAGACCTGGCCAAAACTCGACGAAAAAAAGAAAAGAAGCGCAAGGGCGCAAGCAACACTGCGCTTTGGGGAGAAAACAGAAGAGCATCTCTTTGAGGACTTTCATCGAGCAGTTTGCAGGGGTCAATTTGCTCCCCTCTAATGACATATTCCATAGTTGCAGGGGTCACTTGACCACCCTTACTCCTCTGTGGATCCATCCCTGATTGGGAGAGGGGGGGGGGGGGAATCGAACCTAGAGTCTCAGGTCGTGCAGAGATAAATGCTCTTAATCACTTGAACACTACAAGCCCCTTGTGTTATTATCTTCTCTTTAATGAGATGTACTTCACCAACTCAAATCACATATATAGTTAGTTAGTTAGTATATCTTTCTCTGCTCCCTCATGAGATGTCTCAAGTTGAATTTCGTTCTCCCTAACTTTATTTTTTTATAAAAAGAAAACCCTAAAACAATACGTTGTCTCAAAATAATGCAATTAATGCACAAGTCGTGTTTGGTTTGCAGTTTTCTTGTGGAATCTACCTTTTGCTGATTTTGAATTTCTTCTTGTTCTAATTTGTATTGTTCAGATGTAGAGGGCTCATATGGGTCCATATATATATATATATATGTATGTATGTATATGTATAATGTATAATGTATAGTATGTTCTGATTGCCTATTTGACAGACAAAAGTGAGCTTCACAGTGGTCGCTGTATAATGTATATATAGTATGTTCTGATTGTCTATTTGACAGACACAAGTGAGCCTCACAGTGGTCGCTGTCATTGCCTATCATTGCAATTGTACGTATTCTAGCTCCTTACACACGCCATACGAAATCTCATGGAATCCCTCTTCTTTTTCCTTCATTTATTTTTCACGGTTATTTACAAATGTAAAAATCTAAGAAATATGATGCATAAAAAGTAGTAGGCATGGAGATATGACTAATATTTAGAATATATGTCAGCTCAGAAGGACTTTGGTAATAATTCACTACTCCCAAGACAAAATCAATCAGGTTGGCTGGATTTTCTATTTCTTTCTTATAATCATATAAGCTTTGGTTTTAGGGTTGAATTTGGTTTCGCCATTTTGCCTTAGAAAAAATAACATCAATTGATGACATGTGCGTCTGGAGAAATTCCAGGATCAACTACGAGAGGCAACCGAACTATTTTTTCTTGGAGAAGTTGTGTTAGAACGAGAAAGGGAATATGTTGTCATTTAGAAAGAGTACAAATTATTAATTATGTGGTTCATAATATCCAACGTGATCTGTCATAAGCTGGTGTCTTGGATCCTTGGGGTTGCTGCCATGGCATTCTGGGCATCCGGAGAACATGGTGCATGAGCTGATCAGTTTTGAGGGTGCCTTGGTGAGAAGAGGTAGGAGGAGTATCGTGCGTCGGGGTCCCTTTGCAATTTGTGGTGGAATTCCCGTAGTGGCTTGGTGGACTAATGCATTCATATAAAAACAACCAACATGTGCAAAATTTAACACACGTCACAGTCATTTTGGGTAAAGGTTGATTAAATAATTAACCCTCGATTAAAAAAAATTAAAAAAAGGAACGTGGTTAAAGTTAATAATTTCAAGGCCACGTGATTAGGTTAGACCAAGTCGTAACAAGCGCTTCTAAAATAGGGATATTTCTAGGAGCTCATAAATCTGAGGAGAGAGAGAACTCTTAAAATACCACAAAAAAATTTATTAAACTCTACACCACCCAATTATTCAAATCTTTTCCCCTTCAACACCAAGGCCTCAACGGTGGTGGTTCTCCTTCTTTTTGCCCGTACCTAGAGCAGGGGTTATGTAACTTCCTATCAAGATTCAAATAGATTTATTTATTTGATGTATATGCGTTATTAATTTTTCTTTTAGCTATAAATGTTCAAAAGTCAAATTCAAAATTTAAGAGTACCAATGCCTTAAATCAAGGAATTTTCATTAAAAGTCCCCTTCGTCTCGTCATTTTTTTGAAATTGACATGTACGCCTGGATGAAAGCAACCATTTGTTTCTTATTTTCAGGGTGCCTTGCCTTGCTGATAACTATGAGGTTCAAAAATATTACTGTTAGGTTAAGTTAAGAAGAAGACGAAGAAGAAGAAAAAGAAGACTGGACTGAAGTACATCATGCGCCGTGGTCCCCTTGGATTCTTATTGCATCCACAGCTACGAACGAAATTACACTCACAAACAAAAACCCTGGATCAAAAGTAAAAGAAAAATAAGAAAAGGTGGTTAAAGTTAATATTTTGAAGGCCACGTGATTCATGGCTCTTCCCATGTCCCGAGTACATGTAGTGGGTGAAACGTGGGTTGAATTATGCTGTTGGGCAGTGAAGTCTGGAAAGATAACACCAAACGTTCAGATGCTGCTCATAATTTACGGCACTGGAACTGGTAAATATTCCACACATGATGCCACGAGATATATTCCACCGAAACCTGTAATTTTCGAATAATGTCATACACCCAATTGGTTTTTGCAGGGAAATGCTATCTTTTGTTTGACTGTTTGATAATATATATATATATATATATATAAGATGTTTATATCCTAGTTTAATGGCATAAATATTCATTTCTCAATCTAAGTTTGATAAGAGAATATTTTTTAAATAGATCGCTCTTCTATGGTATTGGTGTATTTTTATATTCCTCGGTTTCTGTTGATCGCTTAACCCCGCTCATCTTCGGCATAACTTTAACAAAATACAAATTAGGATCCCTATCTGGGGATCCAAATATTTCTGAGATCAAAACAGATGTTTACACATATTAAAAAACGAAGCACAAGTTGAATAAAATTATGTCATAAATTTGTAAGAGCATCGGCCACCATGTTAGCTTCACTCCGAATACATACACATTCATTTATTATTGTACTATGATGCGATAAAATGTTAAGGTGAATTTCTCCAGCCTTAATTGCTTGGCCTTCAAAAGTAGGAGCTAAGCTTTTGACCCCCATCAGCCATTCACATGCATACATGTATAAATCTGTCCACATCGCCATGTGGAGTGGAGCTTTTAACACTCCAATCTAGACTCTCTGCTTGAACTCAAAAAGAGAGAGACAGATGGGGCGAAAACCATGCTGTGATAAAGAAGGGCTGAACAAGGGAGCATGGTCTGCTTGGGAAGATAAAGCCCTTGCTAACTACATTAACACTCACGGAGAAGGAAAATGGAGAGACCTTCCTCAAAGAGCGGGTACGTACGGTTCATTATTTAAATTAACAATTATATATATGTGACAATTTTCATGTTTTTTTCTTCTACATTTTGGGACAATGTACTCATAACTAAACACTAGTGTTTTTTTCTGCAGGGTTAAACCGCTGTGGGAAGAGTTGCAGATTGCGTTGGCTGAATTATCTTAGGCCTGATATTAAGAGAGGCAACATTTCCCCCGAAGAAGAGGAGCTCATTGTTAGACTTCATAAGCTTCTTGGAAACAGGTACATATGTATATATGGAAGATTTACATCTCTTCTTGGTATCAAGTTATTATGACGAAATTGGTGTCTCTAATTTTGTATAATTTGTATTAGGTGGTCACTCATTGCTGGAAGGTTGCCGGGACGAACAGACAATGAAATCAAGAACTACTGGAACACCAATTTGAGCAAGAGGTCAGAGCAAGGAAGTGACAAGGCTTATCAGGATCAACTGAGTGCTAGTACTAGTTCGAAAGACGACACGAAAAAATTGAATAATCCGGCATCAAAGTCTTCTGTCCAAGTGGTCCGTACGAAAGCATTTAAGTGCAGGAAGGTTGCCATCCCCTCACATTTGGATGGCCATGATCAAATGCTTGAAAGATCGAACGTGGCTCCTGGTTCCGACAGCGAAAGCCCGTGTTCTTCAGCGGCTCAGGAGCATGATTCTTCGTTTGGTTTTCTGAGGGATTTTGATATCAATGACATGCTCATACCGGATGTGCTGAGTTCTGATTTCCAAAAAGCACAAATCAACGACTGTGATCAGGACATGTTGGAGTGTGGAATTACCAAGATTGAAGATTTATTGATGGGTGAAGCAAGGTTGGGAGAATGGAGAGCTGGTGATGATGATCAAGATGACCCACTTCAACCAAATGATGATGATCATGGAGATGTGAACGGCTTCAATGCACTTTCATCTTTTCTGAATTCAGTAGATGATGATCAGTGGATCATTAGTTAAAATCAAGCTAGCCCCTCTAGCTTTGCACTTTGCAAAACTTTCCAACTCTGTTGTACTGAATAAAAACATTCCATTACTAAGATGAACTTTGTTAGTTTGCAGTTGAACATTTTTGTCAATAATTTGGAGACATGTGTGTTTTGCTATGACAAAATTCAGTATATATTAAAGGCAAGTTTTTCAAAGATTCTTGATGTGTGTTGTGCATATTATATACAGTGCGTTTCAAGTGTGAATGTGAAATTTTAGTATCGGCAAAAAGTATGAATGGTTATTGTCGTGTACTTTACTATGCCTTTAAATATGGATCCATGAGTTTTTCATTCTTCTTCGAAAACGATGTTTGTAAGTGTTTTTACTATAAAATAGAATTTTGACGGACTAATTTGTGATGAACCTGTGATTTTGTTGAATGATTATACACATGGATTTGTTTGTTTGTAGAGATTTAGTACTAGCTAGCTAGCTAGAATGGATTTATATATATATTAGTCATGATCTCTTGGACTACAGGGGTCCAAGAGATTTGTGGTCACTCACTGTTAGATGTAAATTCAACGGTTCACTCACTCTTGCACTCCTTTTAAGAAATTTTTTTGAATCATTGAATTAATATCCAACGGTGGGTGACCACAATATATCTCTTAAACTCCTGTGGTTCAAGAGATCGGGACTGGTATATATATATATATATGTTAATGTATGCATATATATATATATGTTAATGTATTGCATATATACAAATAATTTGTACATGCATATGTATATGTACGCGGGAAAATTCAGCCAAAAAACTTGTGTAACTTTTTTGTTGTTGTTTTGTTTTTTCCATGGAAAAGGACAATATCAATCCCAATCCCATACATGTGGGAAGGTAGCTTCCAAACCGATGATGATGATGTACGTAAAGTCAAGACTCTGGAAATTTCTTAATAAAATGTGGTCCAGAGAGCTAAAGCCATCCGACTTTCAATACCGCGAGAATGTAGGTTGAGGGAGTTTTCTTTTTTATTTATTATATTTACTACTATTTTTTTCCTGTCTGAATTATATTTATATTTAATATAGAAGGTCATAAATTTTCATGTTATTTTAAAGACCATCCGAGATGGGCCATGCATGGCAAGATTGAATCAGCAGCTCTGTAACCCTGAAACCTTGTCATCCTCCCAGGCTAGTGCCTGGCAGTAATTCGTATCATTGATCCAATGAGCCCTCAATTATTTACTTCCACCATCCCACATGCTTTTATTTACCCAACAAAAAAAAAATATATAACATATTTTCCCATAGAGACCTTATAAAAAAATTTCACGTGTTAATATAATAAATCAAAATGGATCGGTCCACTTGAAATTTATAATATAATTAAGCTTGATCTTCTTAGCTCAACAACTTCTACAGCTGCAAAGTAATTTGGATAAAATATATTCCTCACATGCGATGCAGGTTGCCCGCGTATATAATACAATAAACAACATATTAGATGCATGCTTTTCGAATTTCGATGATAAAATGTAATCTTTGTCAAGATTTATATTTGTGTGTGCTAGTGAGGCACTGGTTTTAACGATAATAGTTATACTTTTGGATAAATTTGAGCCAATCAAACCGACCAAAGCTTAATTAAACTTGCAAAAGCAATTTGTGTAAAGCGACACTTGCGTTTTTAACTTTCCTTAAATGCTTCATGTGCATGGATCGTATGATAAGGTTCGGATTCATTACCTACTGATCCTGTCGTTGAAAGTTTGATGTTTATAACTTAATACAGGTGGTTTTGATCGTTAAAGTTAGCTACAATATTTAGTTAGGAGTATCTTGTGCCCATATGGTTTACAACTTGCCAAACATCCACAGTAAGGTTACATCAAACTTAGCGTTGTGCCTACGTCCTCTTCTGTGATCCTCGAGAAACTCACTAATGTAGAAGAATCTCTTTGGTTACAATGAAGAATCCATTTGATCTCTCACAAACCCTAACTCTCTTTTCTCTCACCCTAGCTCAAACCCAATTTAATGTCTTTGTTTTCTCTCTTGCACTCGTTAGAGAAAACCCTAGTGCTAAAATGCCTATTTATAGATCATAGGACTACAGTACAAAGTTACACAAAATATAGGAAATACAATCCTAGTCAAACTAGACCAAGAACTTGCCCAAAACTCACTCTAGAACCAAAAACACCAAGAGCTCAAAATCACCGATGCGATAGATCACCTGGCAAAAGCGATCGATCACTTTCTTGCTGAGAGCAGCTCTTCCACCATCATTTCACCTGGCAAAAGCGATCGATCGTTTTCTTGCTGAGAGCAGGTCTTCCACCATCCTCTGCATCCTTTAGCGGGCCAACTCCAACAAGGCCTCCTCCAACGAAAACAATACCAATTGAATAGTTGGTTGTGTGTACATATTATTACTTGAGCCAAAATAAGAACAAAACCTAAGAGAAAATTCCAAGAACCATTTAATTTAAATGTCCCTGTCGATAGATTACAAAATTGGAGTGGTCCCAATAATTGTGGTTCTCGACTTTTAATAAGTACAAGAACTTCCGCAATACAAATGTTAATTTAGCTAGATATGAAACCAAGAAATTATGAAGCCAAGAATATCAAATCCACTGTGAATTTAGCATGCATGCCAATTGACTACATACATATTCTGCATCATTTTGCATCGACGGTAGACATATCAAAACTGAAGTGGACCCAGAATTATTGCTGAAAATGAGCAGCTTTGCGCATCATTGTGCTTCCATTGGTTTGAAAACGAGAGCTACGGGATGATACACATGTCATTTGGCATGTAGCAAAGCAAAGGAACTTTTGGGTTTATTCTGTTTAGTGAAATGTGTGAACCATATCACTAAACCTATCCGATATTCAAACTCTAATACACACCAACTAAATTTCACAAACAACTAATAATGTTGTTTTTCACCAAAAATACAATAATGGAAGCGAGATGTTATTGTCACTCTAAAATAATTATTATACGTACTTTTTTCAGAGTCGTAAATTTTAACTGTTTATGAAATAGAATGTGGAAAAATCTATCTCTTACAATTCGTGTATATCTTATTGTGAAAAAAACAGCTAATATAGAGAAAACGATCAAACACACAGAAATATACATCTCGTTACATCTAAGTTTTAAGAATAAAATATGTACTGTCCCACCGCTGATAGCTAGGCATCTATTTGTCGAGGACAGATTTGATTTATCCCGAAATTGAGATTCCTGCAACCTGATACACCTCTTTAAGGGACACATAACCATGAATTAATGACTTGCCTAATTTCCTGAATTTCCCAAATTGGAATTTTGTGTTGCCATCTCTTTCGTATTTATAGTGTAAATAATAATCCTCCATTTCTTTGCCTGCTATTCTTTTACAACCACACCCATTTAATAAAATTATCAATCTGATGATAATTCAAATTTGCAATTAATAATCCATCAGTACCGTGTCACTCAATAGACTTTGACATATACCAACCACATGGAACATGGCAATCATTAAAAACAGTAAGTATTTTTTGAAAACAATGCATACTCTAAACTACTCTTTATAAAAAGAAATATTTGAACTTAAGTGAAAATGGGAAGGGGATTCGAACTTTGTTGTAAGGGAGCGGGACTTAATGTCATACCAAACTGCTCTAACCACGTATGCAAATAAGAGTATTCCTTATTAAGATATATTTGCAACACAATTACGTCTTCCTATATTAGTTTCTATACTTTCACCGTTTTCAATAAAGCATATGATGACAGTATGTTTTGCATGTTGACATTTCTGAGAAGAAAGTGATGAGGCCATTACTGATTTGATATCAAGAGGAGTTGAAAGTTGGGTGTGGTTTCTCAATTATTGGATTTAGAAAGCAAAGTTTACCTTTTCTGAAGGAAACAAAATGCTTGAAGTTATTTCTCATGTGCAGGGTGAAAGTTAAAGTCAATGCTCTAAGAATTTCATAGTTTTATAATGCAATACCAACTACCTAATTTATTACTCCAATACCAACAACCTCTTGACAAATTGACATCAATAGCTCTCTCTCGCCATAGATTTTTCTTTTCTGTTTTGTTTTTTTGTTTTTGTTTTTTGGGTCAACTTAAAGGAATTTCTTCTACAAAACAAAGTACCAATATTCTAAACCTGAACTCGCATCAGTCTCAAGGTCCAGATTTGGCGCAACCAATGTGTATACTTGCATGCAACCAAAATTGCAGCGAGTGGTGCTGCAAAATAAACTATTTGAATTAGTCCAAATTTTGATCTTCAATGTATGATCACAAAGAAAAATGGATCGATAGCCAAGTCTTTCTTGTTTTTTTTCGTTATTTTGTCTATAAACTAGTGCTCTGTGCCGCTGTGCTGCGTGGAACATGTACAACGAAACGAACGAACAACTAATCAACACTGACATGTTGTAGTGCGTGGAAGCCAGGACACGTCAACTGCAATGACACCAATAATTATCGTGTGCGGAGACGTACTTTCTGAAAAGACTATACGAGTGATTATAATTAATAGCATGGATCAAATCAAGGCTAATCTTACTGTGGATCTTCTTTTTGTGTTTGATCATTTATCATCAATATACTTTTTTGATGAAGTAGAAGGACTTCAATTAGAAACCGAGGTGCTCTGTCTGAGGGTGGCATCGTTAAAATTTTGCCTTAAAAAATTCCTACGAGAAAAGAGAGAGTACCACACAACTCCACCAACTAACAATACTCTACTCGTTTTTCCTATCTGCTATTTTGTGGCCTTAGTTTAATTATTTATCATCAATTTAATTAGAGGACTAAGTAATGGGTATGCTTAAATAATTAAAAGAAATGGAAACTGCAATTGATTTGCATGATGGAGACAGGGACGATTGAAACTAGATGCTGAACCTCAACCTCATGCAGGCAATAGTACATACATACTTCAGAAGGAGAGAGAGAGAGAGAGGTGGCAGCCTAACAAACTTTCAAGGGTCTCTTGGAATGTTAGCTTGAGAGTAAAAGAAGCAAAGGCAAGGCAGATTCAAATTTGACTTAGAAAATTGTATAATATTATTGTGTTAGAAAACTCTTTTTTCCTTTGCAATAAACATATAATAATTTGCTAAGTTTCAGAATAAACAAAGCACCCTTTCTGCATTA